CTGTGAGTTCTAGGTTCATAGTCTGTGGATTTTGGGTTCTTGGTTCTTGGTTTGTTGGCGAGGGCGTAGGGTGGGTCTGTGAGGGGGGAGTGGGGTAGGTCTGTGGGTTTTAGGGTTTAGGGTGGGGGAGATTGGTCTGGAGTAAAGGGTGGTGGTCATGGGGAAGGGGGGAATGGACGGAGAAGAAAACCAAAAAGGGAGGGGGGTTTGTGTTAGCGTGGGTGGGTCTCTAGGATTTTTTTATTATTTTTGTTCTCTTTTTCTAGAATTTTTAATGATTTGAATGACTATTGGATGACATATTGTTGATTTAGACGGTAGGGGGATTGGCAATAAAAATTAGTTCGTGTACTCAATTTTCTAGAAAAGAAATTGAGGTGCAAATTGAAAGTAATGTACAAATTTAGGGGGTAAATTGACAGTTAACCCTTTTATTTCAGTCAAATTTTTGTTAGACAAAATTTGCAACAGCCCATCAGAACGCTACAAAAGAAAGTCGTTTTCATTTTTCCCTTACCTTACCCACCAACGAATCGGACGGAGGCATAAGCGCGTATTTTATCCACTACATTGGTAACTTCAGGACGTCATCGCAGCCGTTCATTTCCTTTCATACCCGTCGCCTTCCCAAGATTCATAGTCCTCCATTCAATCTTCAGCAGCAGGGTAAATAAATCTCTCGAGGCTCGATTTCCAGGTATTCTTCAATCAATCAAATCAAATCACTGCTCTCTTCTCTATCCAAGAGTATAATTTTCCACCACCTTATCTTCGCCAATGGCCTAAATTAGGATTTCGCTGCTTTTACTTATTTATTCATTTCGATATAAAGAAGAAAAAAGATAATTGATAAATAAAGTAATTGAGGGGTTGAAGTGATGAGGAATTGATGACATGGGAGGTTTGTAAACATTACAATCGTTATCAGATAAAAAAACAAAAAAAAAGAGTCGGGTTCTCATAAATATTTCATACAGAGGAGGATTTAGCTGTGTCTACTCTCATTATAATTTGTGATATGATGTTCATCTTAAGGATGATAATTCTCTTGAATTGTGATTAAAATCTGACTTTAAGGTAAGTCATGGCAGTAAGAATGAATATAAAACAATAAAGTAATAATCTTTTTTATTTATTGTTGATTTTGAAATGCATTGTATTATCCTTGGGCCTTAGAGGGAAATAGTGATGTGCTTAAGATATTTGTGGTTTGAGATGAATATAATGATCAATGGTTAGTAATCACATTGTCATATTAGAGTTAGCGAGTGTTATCTTTCAATTCAAGGATGTAGATATGGGATAACAATGAGTTACGTTGCAAGAATAATGCTTTCGTTTCACTGTAACAGCTTATCCATGGCAAAGAAACGGGGCAAGGCGTCAAAGGGAAAAGGCCTACCTTTAAGTCACGATGATGGGAGTAAAAAGATAGGGAAGAGTTTAATGAAGAAAAAAAAGAAATCTAGGAAGATAAGCGCATCTTCCATGCCTACACCTGCACCTGTGCTTAACAGTGGCCCTTCTGCTTCCAATGTTGCTCATGCTACTTCATCTAGTCATGCTAATCCTACTATTAGGGAAACGGTTCGGCCCAAAAAGAATGAGAAGGATAGTGGGCAATCACATTCTGGTTTTATATTCATGTGTAATGGAAAAACGAAACCTGAATGCTATCGATATCGTGTTTTTGGGCTACCCTTGGGAAAGGTAGAAGTTGTAAAGAAGATTAAACCTGGTACAAAGCTATTTTTATATGACTTTGACTTGAAGCTCCTTTATGGCACATACAAGGCAACTTCAAATGGAGGATTGGATTTGGAGCCAATTGCGTTTAAGGGGAAATTTCCTGCACAGGTAACAATGTTCTATATGAATATGAAATGTTAATTCCTAGAAAATAAGACCAACGAGTGCCCAAAAATAACCCCTTTGTTCACCGTATACATCGTACATATCTTGTTGACCTTGTCCTTTAATAAGTATGACATTATTCAATGCTATTACTAAACAACCCCTGGCCCTTTGTATTTCTGAGTTACTTAACTAAGCTAGCTACTTAACTTAGTTACGTATGTGATCAGGATTTTTTCTATGTTTATATAAGTGCATACAGTATTTTCCAAAGAGCTGTTGATCATTACCATTGTGTGTGTTGACTGCATCCTGTGTCCAACAGTCATGATTGTTGCCCCACCTTTTTCATCTTGCAAGAGAACAGTTATATATGTGCAACTATTGTATAAATACATGTGTGTATTTGGAAGAGGTCTTACAGCCTTTAAAAAGAAGTGGGATTATGGGACATAAGATAGCTTGCCTCTCATTATGTCTAATGAGCTTCC